ATAATCACTATGGTATCATCATGTGGGTGCTAAATTCCTTTAAAATCTTTCAGGTTGAATGAAATTGACACATTTTTTTAATTTTTTTCTTTCTTCATCGAGGTGTCTACTGCCATAACCATGTTTAGATTGAACTTTCTATTAGCCGAGGTGGAACTATTTTTAATGATTACATCAATCACTCTAATGATCGACCTATTGTTATCAATTTGACCCTCTTATTACCTCGGTTCATCTTCATGATCTTCTTTTCTTTCATTTTTTGGCCTTCTTTTTTTGCCCTAAGTAGGCTCTCTATGATATTGTTTGTAGTCCACTATGGGTTGGCCTTGTCTTTACTGTTCTACATACTTACTTAATTGACCTTTCCTTATCAAGGTTTTAATTTATTTTTTTAGTCGACATAGTCTTTGGTATTATGGCTTATGTCTCTATGAAAGGTGCATCTTTTGATTGGATCCATCATCATATTCTGTCTTAATGGCTTTGACCATTCAAGGTTGGGATTTCTTTCAATTTGTATTAGAATCCTCTCTCGAGAGGTATTCAGTACGGTATAGTTCTTTTCTCCACTAAGGCTTTTAGTCCTATGTCATCTCTCTTTTGAAAGAGAATCATAAAAATTCTTGTCTTTTTTATGACTGATGAGGGGGGATGAGTCTCTCTCACCTTGATTTTTTTTTATTGTAACTTCAGCATTTATATATTTTTCAACTATTAACAAGATGTCAGTTAGAGTTTTAGGTAGTTTTAACGACATTGTTAGCTTCAAGTGGTACTCTTTATCATTAAGTCTACTTGTTAGAGTGGCTACAACAATCGTTTGTTCTAAGTTTTTAACCTGCAAAGCTTTCACATTAAAACACGTGACATAACTCTTCAGAATTTCATTCCGACATTGGTGGATTGACATCAAACTTAGAGTCATCTTCATTGCTCTTTAATTATTTACAAACCTAGACAGAAAAGAGTGGTTGAGCTCTTTGAATGTCATGATTGACCTAAGTTTCAGGCTGCTATACCAGGACCTAGTTGCACCCTTCAGTCTGGTAGCCAAGCCTTTGTACATTAGAGCCTCGTCTGTCCCCTGTATCATCATGTTAGTTCTATGAAGTTTCAAATGATCAAAGGAGCTAGAAATACCATTATAGGTTTTCAAGGTCGGCATTTTAAACCCCTTGTGAGGCATGGGTTTATTTATTTCTTCAGTAAAGGGTGAAGTCTCTAAGAACTTAAGCTCATTCTCAAATGCCATTGCTTTTATTGTTAGCTTTTTTTCTATGGCCTACATTCGAGCTTCCAGGTCCTTGTTTGGTTGGGGTTCAAAGTTTGTTTGTTTGGGTTTTTAGGTCGTAGTAAGTGTTGAATTATCGTTAAATTAATGGTGGGCTGGGGTGTTGTGCTTTCTTTTCTGAAAGTCGATGAGGCTTCCACCTCTTCATAGCTTGATTGTCTAACAATGGCTCTTCAGCCAAAAGTCATTAGGTTAGGCACTTTTGAAACTTATGGTGAGATTATGGTTTGTAACATCTACTTGAGAGCCTGTATCTGTTTGGTCAAGGCTTAAAATTGTTCCATAGTCAGTCTCGCCTGTGGTTAGGCAGGTCGGATGAAATGTTGGCTATGATGGTTTTCTGTTCCAACCAGAACAACCGTCTCTCCTTCCTTTAAGGTTCTCTTCCCTGGTGGCATTGCTTTGTGATAGGCTAATGAATGGAAAAAGACCCTTACCTGGTGTACCAAAATATTTGTGCTAAGCTTCGATCTCAAGGTATTTCTGGAAAGAGAGAAAAGAAAAGCAGTTAGAGATAAAGGCAATGAGTGTTCCTTACGTTTGTACTCTGATGCGCAAGTAAGAAAGAATGAAGTCGGAATGAGAGTAATAGGGAAGAGATGAAGTGGTGTGTGTTACTTTTATGATACCTAGACCTTTATATTTATAGATAAGTGATAAAGGACCATTATGGGACAACAAGAACACTACTGAGCTGACGTGCTACTGAAAATGTCAGATTGACCTAACATATCAAGTCGGTGCAAATGTCAAAATTACCTTTTGTTGTCTATTAAAGACTTCTAACATGAAAAAAAATTACTATACTCTTTTGACCACTAAATACCCTAAATAGAATGGAAATTAGAAAATGGATGAAAAGAAAAGGTAGTAAAATAAAAATTTTTAATTTAATTAATTTATATATTTATTTTAAAAAATAAATTTAACAAGTTTGAATTATATATAATTGTTTTCTACCCTCGTAGTATGATTTCATTTATAAAAAAAAAAAAAATTACATATTAGAAAACATTTCGTCCCAGGTTCTGTTACCCTATGAATTTGGTGGTTTAACATGGAAATCAATGTAAAAGGTTTTAGTTCCAACATTAAACTCAAAGACATCATGAATGTAACAACAAAAACAAAGAAATTTTGCTTTTTTTTTTAACAATTGATCAGCAAAGCTTAAAAAAAAGAGGTGGGGAAATTATGTCTCCAGCGTCCAGCAACCATTAAATTCACTACATTTGGCCCACATTGAAGCTATGCATTTGACAGCTCACCCACTTACTCTCTCCTGTCTCACCCACAGCCTCTCAGCCTCAGGCTCCCCCCACCTCTCGCTCGTTGCCGATCACAATGCATGCACGTGAAAGGACCTACTCATCCAGCTGTTAAAAAAAAAAAAATTTTACGACCACTAAATATTCTGTCCCGGAGTTGTGGTTATAATTTAACAACGCAATCAAACAACATAAAAAAAAAAAAAGAAATGACAACCAACTCTTTACGCTTTTTTTAACCGATCAATAACTTCCATGTTTCATGTTACTAACCAACAAACAACAAATTCACTTCAAAAAGGATAAACGAAAGGCAGGGTCGGTTAGGACTTTTCAAGTGTTAAATTTTGAGCCTATTTCAATTTCCAAGTTTTAAATTTGATTTTAAAGATGAAGAGGGGTTGCTTTTTTTTTTTTTCTTAATATAGGTGCTAAATTAAACTTTTTAAAAATAATTTAGATTTCAAAATTCGGATATCAGTTATGTAATTAACACAAGCAATAAAAATTATGTGGTTTGTGATGAGATTTAATAATTTTAAATACAAAAATAAAATGATATGAAAAAAGATTAAAAAAATATTATTTAAAATTTATAATAAAAATTGTATATATTTGATAAAAATAAAAAACATATTTTATATTTAACATATTAATATAAATTATATTATAATAATTTTATATTTTATATATTTTAAATATAAAATAAATAAATATGAATGCACAAATTATATTATTTAATATGAGATATTTTTTAATCAATTATCCATACCCAGTTTGGGAAAAGGTACGATACGCCAAAAAGTTTGAGTTGAAACTTGTGAAAATTAAAGCTGACCGTACGGTGAGTGAAGCGTAGTAAATAATATTTGACCTACACACGTAATAATGTCACGTTCGAATTAAGTTGCTATTGATCTTGAAAACCTAAAGCAGGCATGCAGATGCAGGAGATGCCCATCGGTAGAAATGCATGCTAATTTCTAGCCTTAGCTGCCTGCAACTACATTTGCGACTGCGTCCGTCCTACTCCTTCAGATGCAACCAAACCAACACACAGAACCAGTTGGTGATGCCCATATTGCAACTTTGATCTAAAACTAGATATTTAGAAACTCACTGTTTACCCTAAACTAGAGCTGGTTTTCAGTGAAAATGAAAATTCTTTTGACTTCTTTTTCATTCATGCATCGGACTTTGGGAAAAATATTGGATATAGAAAAACTATTATTACTTTCCAGACAATGGGAAATATATGCTCGAGATATCAATGATTCTCACCTAGTATTTTCCAAAACAAATTGAGCCACTTCATGCCCACATTTTTCTCAATTATTTGATTAACTTATATATTAATATTCCAATAATTTATGTTAATCCTACTCCAATATATGGAGTAATTATGAATTTGAAGGCTCACCCATGAATTTTTAGACCCTGGTTGTAGGTGTAAGAGTCTAAATAGTTGAGTTAAATACCATTCTCCATTTTTACGTATCCTAATAAATAAATACTAACATTATTCTTTTTGTTTTATTTACTTAGGTCGTTGAATTGCAGATTAATTCTTAGATCAGTTGGCTTAAGATTCTATTGGTGCTTAGAGGTTGATAAGTTTAAAAGAATTCATGTACATAATGTTCTATTCAGCTTGATAAATATAAAGGATAAAGAAGTTAAGAGTAGATTAGAAAATTAAAAAAAAAAAAAAAGTCATGAACTATTGTTTACAGTATATTTGGAGAAGCTGACTTGCATATAAAAAAATTACTGTTTTTTTTTTTTTTTTTAAATTGGGGAAAGGAGAAACTCAAACTGTGCTTGAGTAAAAAAGTAGTATTAAATGTGAATTGTAGCTTTCAAAAAGTACTAGAAGTTGCACCAAATAGGTTTAGATGCAATAAAAACAAATCTTTATCATTGGTATCTACTTTTTTATCGAAATTATCGGTATCTATTGCTAGTGTAATTGGTGTAGATTACGAAATTACTACTAATTGGGTCTAGAAAAAAGAAGGAAAAATTTTCATAAATTTTCCTCTATTTTGAAAAGCACATATCATTCCACTTCATTTTTCGCCTTTATTTTTAAAAAGCACATATCTTTCCACCCCATCTTTTACTAATATTTTCTTAAGGATAATTTTTAAGATTTCATTTGATAGAAATTTTAGTTTTTAACATTTTACTTTTTGTGAAAAGTTTAATTAAAAGAAAACGAATAGCAAAAAGTAAATATCTACTAAGGGAAAGAAAAGAATTAGCTAAACAAAGCTGCTACATATGAAGATTTACAAGAAAATGAAACGCCAAGTGGCCAAGCTAGTTTTCTGATCTCTCTTTGCCAGTAATTAATGGAAGGAACGTACAGATCATATTCATTTTTCTTGCCTGCCTCTACGCCTCCTAAAGGTCCGTACCTTTCGCATTCAAATAGAAAGGAACAAAAAAAAACAATACCACAAACAAAACCAGTCAGCAGCCTAAGTAACCCTTTCTTTTACTAGTTTTTCGTTTTAAGGACAAGGGGAAAAGAACATTAATTTCCTAAAATAGGCATTGTTTTTACTACTCAAAGCTCACAATAAAACTTCGATTGGCGTCATCAAGGGAGGAAAAGGGTTAAATGAAACCAGCTGAGAGAGGCCCATGAACCAAATTTCAGCTGCATACAATCGAAAATGACATGACAAATACGCACAAGAGCAAAATTGGGTAAAAACAAGCATAACCAGAAGCCATCAAGGTAAAAAATATAATAAGCCACTTGGCCAACATACAATAAAAACATAAAGATTAAACCTAGACTGAAGAATAGAGTGAAAAAGAATTTAAAAAAAATATTTAGTGGGGGGTCTATCGCAAGAAAGCGGGGACCCTTGTACGCGGCACTTGCACAAAAATAAATGCCTTTTTCATCATATGCAACTCCCACATTCTTGGAATAGTTATATACTTCATGGAACCATTAAAACATAGTGACTAACACCCGACCATGAAAGCGAGCACAATACAGGCATCTTCAAAACACAGAGAACGTATTCTATTCTAGTAAGTTATCTTCTTTCGTGGGGTTGGAGTATTCGGTCCCGTTTCCTGATGCAGTTACTCCGGATGAAGCGCTTGATGACATATTGCTGCTGGTGCTTCCATTTTGGAAGCTCGTGGATCTTACAGCTTGGTTTCTCTGAGGATTGTTAGTTGCAGGCATTTGCCCCTCCTCGGCTAACTTTTTGAGAAGGTTCATAATGGTGGGAAGGAATTTGGTAGATAAGGAAAGAAGCCCAGGAAGCTGCAAACATAAAAAGTCATAAATTAATCATTCAATAAAAAAGGAGTGAAACAGATTAATCACAATGAAAATAGAAATAACTAGACGGATTAAGGCCGTACTATAGTCCTTAATGATCTCATTGAGGGCGAAAAGTTTTCCACTGAAAAATTGCGTTAGGTAAAGCTATTGAATGCCATGCATGATACAGAAAATAGGTTTTTGAAATTCCAACCAACTAGGAGGTGAACACACTCCAACAATTAATTTCCGATACATCAGTTTACTAATATTTATGAGCTGCAAAATAGAAACCAGTGGAATATTTGAAAAACGGAAAAGATCTGACAACTATGTTTAAACTGAAAATCTTCCCCAGCAATCGGATTATAAATTTAAAGTTTACACGCCCAAAAGTTTTTAAATGCCTTTGAAGTGAATTGTTTCAATGTGTTGTACTGTAAAAGTCATTGGCTAACCAAATATCTTTAGCATGCTCAGGAATAAACAGGGGACAGAAAATTTTAGTTCAATACTCACAGCGCCATTGCGGAATTCACCCGAGATGTCAAGCTGCACCCATAGAGCCTTCATAATTAGGAAACCCACAAAGATGACACCCAGATATAAAGGATTTCTGCAATGAGGATATTTGCAAGTAAGCACCAGCAACAGACACTTATAATATCATTGAATACCTGACCAAAATTAATTCAAAGCTACAAGTGCAACATGCACCTTAGAAGAGTCATAAATTCATTAAAACCCAAGACCATCAAGGCAACAATTGCCCATGGAGGTGGCAACCAGTTGTTATTACGCTTGTTGGCTTCCTGAAAGTAGAAGAAAACTAATCAGGCATCGGTAAACTCCAGGGAAAAAATGGATGCATTGGGAATAATATGTCTACGTAAAAAAAAATATATTAATTCGGAGTTCCAGTGAATAAAACTTGATAGCAATATAATGTATATGCTATGTGTGCAAAAATAGGGAACACAACACAATTTCTGGGCCAACATTTGATTGAAGCAGCAATAAATAATGTAAATAATGCAATTAACTAAGCCAGTTTTAATTTTCTAGCACTTCTTAAGACAATCTGACTATTAACAACTAACCATTGGAATTCAATTTGATGTCTAATATTTAAGTTAACATAATGCAATGACAATTCAAATCAATATTAGATGGGGAAAGGGAGAAATCCAAATCTTCAAGATAATTAGAATTTTAAAATTCATGCCTGAGCAGAAATGGCCTGTGTGACACTGTACTCTGTCTCAGCCCTGAATTGCCGCCACAAAGACTTGCACTGAACAGGCGTGATCAATGTCTTGGCAGGTGGAACCTATACCAAACAATATCAGTCATAAGAATGAATCACACATAATACACGGAGGAAAAGACTGTTCAAATGATGAAGATACTGCATGAGAGAGACAGAAAACATATCAAGACCCTACGAGTGCTGCAGCTTTATACATTTAGTTGGTGAATGCCACGCAAATTTGGTACTTATGGTATCATTCATTAACAGACATAGCCAGACAACTGTGACTTTCCATATTTAATCCATGCAAGGCATAGAAATATCAGCAAGTAGTATGCAACGGTCAAGCAGTTTGAATAGTTCAACTAAATCTCATAAAGATCCTCAGCAAGAACAAGACGTCACCTGCTCCCAAGTGCTTGAGGCCAGTGGATCAAATGTTGTAATGCTCCTATCAGTCACAGCTGCATTATTTTTGGTATCCACCAAGGCAGAAGTTAGTGTATTCTCGATATTATCAACATTATCATCCAACCGGATTGCAGCCATGACAGACAGCAACTTTAAGGACTGGCAACAGATAACAAATGAGTTTAGCAGCGAATAGAATGTAGCATAATTCTTAAAATCCAACAAATGACGGTACATAAACATACTGCAGAGCAAGCTGCTTTAGTGATGGCTCGAATATCTTCGTTCCCAGTCCAAACCCGTGGCATTGAATCAGAATCACGACTAAACAATGTTGAAAACCTGTATATAAATTTGTAGTCAATTTTGATAGTGTATAATGTCTAGCAAATCAAACACTTTAACTCAAACATGTAAATGTGTTCTTACCTGTCCTTCATACGGATCAATACCCTTCCAGCTTCTTCTCTTGCTTTTGCTTCAACCACACCCCTTGCATAATCCTGTAGACTCATTAACATCTTCTCCTTGGTTTGTTCATTCATGTCAAAACCAGAGAGGGCATTGGAGAGTCCAGAAACAGCTGATTCAGTTTCACGCTGGAGAAGTTTCTTTATTGCAGGCCAGGTCTCATTATTAGCTCCATCTAAAAGTGCTTCAACAGGTCCTGATAATGCATTGTTCAGCTTTGCCTGCAAATGCACCATAATAATCAGTATGATTCTAAATGGTGATTTAACCAGTCATAAACATGTGCTGTCGATATCACCATGACAAATTCTTCAAAGGTTATGGAAGTCCTCACAGAAATCAAACAGGCAAGAAAAGAGTAATCACATCAATGCCAACATTGATATGATGTATTTCGTCATTTACCATATATGGTACATCAGAAGAAAAAGAAAACACCAAAGGGCCCAAATTCATGGTCTTCAAAAGAATTGAACTAGAAAATTCCAAGCCTTTCTTATTCAGACCAGGATTGCAAGCCCATACAGTAAAGTTTTAATAACCCAACTTGGAATATGACATCTTACTTAATTGGGCTTCAGTTATTTCTGTAGTAATTCACATTGTATGCAACAATGTGAAAATTTCAACAACTAGCAACACAGCAAAGTTTAATAAACCAACTGTTCAATATGACATCTTAATTAATTGGGCTAAAATTATTTTTAAAGTAATGCACATCATATGCAACAATTTGAAATTTTCAACAAGCAGCAAGACCGAGAAAAAAAATGTCATAACATCATGGTATCAACTTCAGTTAACCTAGTCTCCTTGCAACCCAGCTCAAACAACTTGAAATGATACACAAACTCCTGTTTTAAAATTTTGTTAGGTTACAATATCCCCAACTTTTCATAATATTACTTCATTGGTTAGGGTTACTAAACAGCAAGGAATCTGGAAATTATAGAATTGTCGATAATCATGAAGACAATCACTTAAATCAAGTTAGCTAGAAGGGACAGAGAGATAAGTCGTCATACCTCATATGTTGAAGTCAACTCCGAAAGTTTGGCAGCTCGGACAGAAGCAACATGTGCATCAATATCACGACGTAGCTTATCCCTTACTTTAGAAGAATCCCAATTTGCTATTTCAACAACAGCATCTGCATAAAAGATGTCAAACTCTACATGAACTCAGTCTACCTTATTAAGCAAAAAAACCTTCATTGACAAAGAACTATAGTACCACACCTATTAAATGCAACCAATACACAAAGGCTCATCATTTAAAGGTTCGTTTCATAGAAATCGCTTAAAAACTCATTTTTTCTTGTATGAATAATTTCTTGTCCAAAAAACCTTTTTAATGAAACTTTTTCCATTTCATAGCTCTTGAATTTGTGTTTTGTAACTTTTGTTTCTATGTCAGTTTAAAGCTAAGAGAATGGTTCATGAAGTTCAACCATACCTGCATATCCCTCATCAAACAAAGCCATGTAAGATTCAGTGCAGTGGCGAGCAGCCACAGAAAACCCCTCCCCTCCATTCAAAGCCTTCTCAAATGCTTCCTTAAATTTTTCAAGAGTTCCAGACCTTAAATGTCCTAGCATGGATTGGTGGGCTGGTTGGACAAGCTAAACCAGAAGACACAAACCAAATGAGTCGAGAACATTAAATAACAACAAATATTGGACAAGAATACAGTAAGTGCTATTACTTGTAGCAGTTTTTCTTCAAGCAGCTTCCGCTTTGCAGATCTGACACCTTCATCAAAATACGTGGCTTCTGCATCATACCTAAAATCAGAACAACAAAGAACTCAGTGTCACTGACATGGTAATAAACCCTGGAAAATAAGTATGGAAAAAACAACAATCTTGAATTAAATCATCAGAACTGCCCTTATTTGGCCAAGGTATGCCTCAGATAATTTTCATCCACCCATTCAGTCAAGCATTATATCATTATCACCATCATGACTCACAAGTCATCAGGTTACCAATCAGTTATCACGACATTCATATTTATCTTTTAGCATCAGAATTCCGTACAGTCACTTTGAAAGAATGAATCACTTCTGCAATTTCCCTAATGCTCAAATGGCCTTTGCCTATGTCAGCTAAGCTCTTCCAAATCCTTATACGGGTAGTAGCCTATTTGTGTAACTTATACACTGAAAAACTTATCTTGCGATCTCATTAAAGTAGTCTTACTCTGATAGAAAAGTATAGAGAATTGAATTCAGCTTCTTCCCAAAGCCAGCAACTGGACCAGACTGTACAGCTTCATCTAACAGACACCAGCTCTGTTATATGAGGTAATAGGTTGGTTTGAGTTTCAAGAAAAGTAGCCAGCTCTGAAAAGAATGTGCATGCATATATTTATGAATATAAAAACATATTTACATGTCCACGTACCTCATTTGCAGTGAAACTAGCATACTTTTCATTGGCAATTTCTTCGCAGCGTACCGTAGCCACCATGACCTACAGAAAAATGAAACATAGATAACAGAAAAAACAACAGGATTTACAAATTTCATTCAAGTTTGAGCCAAAATAATGTCCAAAAGGTTACCTTATGGGCTGGAAGGTCAAGGTCCTTATTCTCCTTAATGACTTTCCAGATCTGTTGTGCACTAAACGAGAACCCTGAAGCAGGTACCACTCCCCTCCGATCTCCAGCAAGCCCCCCCGGTGCAATAGAGTGGAAGAATCGTTGTCTCAAATTAGCAACCTTCATTAATAATAATAGAATCAGACAAACTACCCATTTGCATGCCAATTAATCAAATATTTCAACACCACCATCCAACATTAGGACAGAATTATACAGTAGGTAGAGATCTTTTATTTTAGCCATCTCCAGAAAAAATAAATTACACATTACAATTAGAACAAGTGAGGAAAAAAAAAAAAAGATATGCAACAGCATGAATGAGAAAAAGAAAAAGGAAGTCATCAAACAATCAACAGGGTGCAGTCACAAATCTACAAGTAGATATTTCACTTCTTTCTTTCCATTTAAACAAACTTCTAAAAGCCAATAGTGTGAAAGTTCGTTTGCATGCTATGAATACTGAATGTCCTTATGAGATGACCTAAACATAGTACCTGTTCTTTAAATTGCTCTTCCTTTTCTTCATAACTAGAAAGTGCAACAACCTCAACCTGGCCATTATCAGCAATAGCATTAAATCATCATAAGCAATACTCATCAGAAAAGGTATAGAGAGACATTAAACATTTAAACTTATGTTGCATTAACTCACGACCCAACATCATACATTGAAAAATTCACTTAATGGAGTTTCCTTATGTGCCTGCGGCTTGGGAACTGAGTCCCATATCTGCAGTTCCAAGAAAACTGGGTCAGAAGAAAACATTGCTGAAGTGAATCAGAAGTGCAAGGAAGCATAGGAACCACATATCTGTACCTTCTGAATATCTTCTCTCAGAACAGGTTCTAAATTTTCCAGTGGTGTCTGTAAACAAGGAATATTTAAGTAACCATAAACTCAATTGAAGTTAGAAAACCCTAAGTTAGATATAATAACAATATAAATCTTAGATCCTAAATAATCTTAAGGAAAAAGGTGAACAAAACATTAAATCTCCAAGCACAACATGCTCCATAATAGAAGAAAGGTACCCACCCTTGTTTTATCACGGATGACAAACATCAAAGTCGTTTTGCGAGGACTAAACAATCGCATCATGACCTACAGAAAAATGCAACTAAATAAAGAAAAGAGCGATTTGAAATTCAGGGCACTGCTTAGAAAGGGCAGCGAGATCGTGAATACCTGGAATACAGTCTTCAGAAGAGGCTTATTTGCAGCTTGCTCACGACCAATATCATGACACCACCTAAATGAAAATTGCTCAAGAATTTCACTTGGACATGCTACTGTAGCAATTAACTTCAAATGAATGTTCAAAACTATATCAAGCACCATATAGGTGCCAAACCTTACATGTTTATGAGTACTATATCTGAAACTGCCAATGCAAAAAGTGCACTTTGTTTCTCAAATGCTGTGTCATCCTGGAATGAGGCCAAAAATAAATAAATAAAAATATGTAAACAAGAAAGAATCTCTCGTCCTCCCTATTTTTAATAAAACAAAGGAAGATCAGATAAAACTCAACAAACAAATATACAAACAAAAAATCCACTTCATATTCAACTTTTATAATCTGAATTCCAACTATTGATTTGGTTCAGCTTGATCCCTCACTCTAAAAAACCCAGTGTAAATTACCAAATTTTATTCTTCGATCAGAATCAATTTCATGTATAATCTACTAATCTATGTCCCTGAAAATCATGCTATTGAATAAATATCACTTATGGTAGAGCTTTTACTACAGAAAAAAAAATGTAACATTCAGAATTAAAAGCTTGACTTAAAAACACTGATGACTGACCTGACTAACCTTTAATTTGATTTTACTCTCCGGTAAAACAAAAATACCTTCAATATTCCAACCATTTCCTACAAGGGTTAGGCTCCCCTCAATTACTTTCCAATACAACTTTAATCACCATTCAAAGTATGACTTCCACAATTCACAGGTGGGTCTTACACAAGTATAAGGTGTTGATTAGTATATTGAAAAGTAATGGAAGGGAACCTAACCTTCCTACAACTACCAAATCATTAGTGCCACCAAACCATTGAAAATTTGTAAGAATTATTTTGCAGATGTAGTTGATAAATTGCCATCAAACCAGGGTCCTAAAGAAATAACTACTTGAATAATAAATCAAAATGTGTATCCATAAATACTTTTTTATTCTTTTCCTTTGAGGGCAGTGAAGGAGGGATATCCTGAATCCTATGTTTTGCAAAAACTGACAAAAAAGATTTTTAAGCTAACAAGGGAAAAGGAAGGAAAACAACAGAGCAAGCAAAAGTAGATATTGGTATATAAAATAATGTAGTTTAAATTTTTGGACAACATATGTTAATGATAGAATGCAAGCTAGAAATAGCACCTCCCCACGTTCTCTTCCATCAGTACCCTCCAAATCCATTACCAAAGTGCAAGGCTCTATACCAGCACATTTTGCCATCCAAATACCTTTAGTTGTTTGAGACCTGAAAAGAAGCACATTCAATTAGTTGTTTGAGCCAATTGAAACAAATGCTATGTGCTATTACAGAAACATAAGTTACCTTCCCTTAAATGCGTCCATTTCCCTGAAATTGGTGTAAAACAAATGATTTAACAGTGTGCTTTTACCTGTCAAGATCATGGAAAACAAAGTGAAACTTTAAATGGCATATGCAAAACTTATGTAGATACCATGATAAAACACCAAAAAAAAATCATTCATGGCATGTGTTAGAATAAAAAAATGATACAACAAAGATATATATATATATATATATAATTAAATGATACAACAAAGATATATACAAACTAACTACAGAAATAATCCAAAAACATCATTTAGAAATGAGTTAATATCAAAGTAAGATATGAAAAATATGCCTTTGGTGAGAGCTGAAGTAACCAAAATTCAAGTTTGTCATACTCTCACATGTATCCCACATATTTAAATAATTCAATATCATTAAACAAAATGAATACAAATAAATGTAAAAGCTTAATATGAACTAAGAGTAGACACCTAAGGAACAAGGAAAGCACAAGTACAAAGCAGGATGTCATGAAGATATCAAAGCATACCGCTGCTTTGTGGTCCCATGATGGAAACCACGGCATATGACAGCCCGCATTCAGAAAGTTTTACTTCCCTGATAAAACGTTCGATTCCAGTATCATTGAATGAACCATCTCCATCAATAAGTTGAGTTGAACAACATTCCTCACTTGTGGCTGAGAAACCAAACGTCCCTAGCGTGTGTAAGTAAAAAGGAAGAAAAGCTTCCATAATACACAGCAGTAAACTGACCGATTCATTTTCCCTTGTTGATTTAAAATTAAATTCTCCATAACAATTGATCAAGAAAAATAAATAAATAAATTTAAGAATAACTCAACAAAAAACAATAGTATATTCATTAATTTTGATAGAGAAATTTGGCAAATTAAATAGCTTAAAAGAACTGATAATTCAAAATCCGGTTTTTCTTTGTTTTCTCAGCAACCAAACATGCAATATACATAAAATTCATCCCCAGTCCCGATCCAAACATCTCAAATAAGTTTCAGATTTACACTACTTGAAAGAACCTCTTAAAAACCTAAAAATCAAATTCAGATGCAAATTTTCAAAAAAAACAAAAAAAAACAAAATCATTAAGGCAGCGTTACAAGCTCAAACGCTCTCGTTACCATTACATTACAGAAATTAAACAAGAAACCGAAAAATTAATTAATTAAAGAAAGGAAGAAACGGATCATTGAAAAGACCTATAAAATAGAGAAAAAAATCATGAGGCAAAACAAAAAATAAAAAAAAAATGATTAAGATGAGACATGAGAGTGTACCCATTGAATCTTGTTTGAAATTGATAGCTCAAAAAATGAGGAGATCGATTTCAATGAAAGACAGATAGAGAAAGACGGAGAGAGAGGAAAAGAGGGATTTGAAGATCGACCTCAAAGGGGCGCTCCTTTTCCTTTTTATTACTATTTTTTTTTCTTCTTTAAAAGTGGGCTTGACTGGTCCTCTAATGAAAGAGCGCAAAGTAGATTAATACTTTAATAGTAGTGTATTTTTTCTCTTCTTTCCCCCTTTTTTTTTTTATTTATTAAGATTGTTGTTCGTATAATAAATTTTTTAATTTTAAGGGTATTTTTCTTTATTAATTTTTTAAGTATGTTTAGAAAAAAATATTTTTCGTTTTTAATTTTGTCCTCTAAATTTAAAATTTTAAAAACGATTTGTGAATTAATAATTTAATTAATTAATCATTAAACATAATTTTTTTGTAAGAAAGAAATTAAGGACCGGATTTTGCCCTAGCAATTTTCCTCCGGTTTTATACAGTGCCCAATCATGTTCTGCCAAATCATGAAAAGCGATTTTTTGCCCAATTATTTCTGCTAAAGCATGTAAAAGGATTTTTTTTACTCCGAGTATTTCTCGGGCATGACTTTTTAACTTTTTTTTCAATTTTTTAAATTTGAACGGCTTTCTTTCTCTATTAAAATAAATTAGCTTTTTTTACGAAGCATTTGGACAGAGATTTTAAAGAGAAATTTTATTTGTAAATAAAATTTAAAATTTTTAAAATAGAATTATATTGTTTAACCAAATAAATTTTGAAATTATCTAAATTCAAAAGAACGATAATTTTTGAAAGATTTAAATTCTCTTTTTAAATTTTACTTAAAGACGTGAAATTTGTAAACTTTCTTCTATTTACGATAAAACATTAACATTTAATATGTTTTCTTTTTTGTTATGTAACTTTAGTTGTTTTTAATTTTATCTATAAAAATTATTATAATTTTTTTTTAATTTTTCATATTATTAGTAATATCTGTACATTTTTACAAATTAATGGCACTCATATTATATATATATATATATATATATATATATTATACAAACAATGCTACTACAAATTCTATTATTTTGGACCGTAGTATTTCAAAATGTTAACATTTTAAATTCTTTAAAATTTTAAAATTTTTCATCCAAATACACTTTCATTGTTTTGTTGTATTTGAATGGGCATTTGGAAGAATGATTTAATTTCAAATAGAATTTTCAAAAATTCAAAAATTAATTTATTTGTTTTGGTTAAATTAAAAGGGGATTTCAAATTCTAGGAAGAACTTTAAAAGCATTCCATCTAAATTGATGATTTTTATAATTCTTCCATCATCTTTTTACTGTACATTATCTATTATAAAATATAAAACTCAAAAAAATAAAAGATCATTTAATTTAATTCCAATATATTTTTTATTTTTTAAATTAGTTTACATTTTATAAATACAATAATATCCATATTACAGATTTATTTTTATTTTTATTTTAATATTATTATTCTTTTTCTTTTATTATTATTTTTTATTTGTTAAAATTTAATAGACTAAATTTTCCTTTAAAAAATATTTATTCAAACAAAATGATTATAAATACTAACATTTTGAAATAATGTATTTTAAAATACTCTCATTTCAAATTTTTACAAAATTTTAAAACTTTTATCCAACATATTCTTATTTTTTCTTTTTTAAGGAATTTGGTTGATTGTTTTAACTTGGTAAAATACCGTGAAAATTATCGTATTTATTGAAAGTGAAAATTTTAAATTTTACAACTAGTATTTGTAGATGATATATATGTTTAAGATATAATAAAAAATAAAAAAAATAAAAATTTTTCAATACACCTCCAATCAAGTTGCAGACATGGCAGTATCTGATTGGCTGTCCAAGACAAAAGGTAATCAGTTTGTACAGTTAAAGATCAACAGTATTTTGTTTCTCTGAGAGTTTTCGGTAGGAAATTTGGTTTGATGCGTCATGTTTCATCCACGATCACCGACTTTAGCGGGGCCCAGTGGCCGCCCATCTATCATTTTCCAAAAAGTGGGCGGTGTGATCGGCGGATCGCAGCCTCCTTTAACAGCAAGTGCGTTACACGCTCTAACAACCAACGTGGACATTAGCATGGGGCCCGCACGGCTGCTCCGACGGCATGTTGTGTGGAACCCAGAGGTGGGAATCCTGGATTTAGGCCAACATTCCGTTACAAATCAACCTGAAAAGAGAAAGAAAAAAAAAAGTTGGTTTGGTTGGGGCCGCCAGCTAAGCGCCCGAGGCCCAAACTTTTTTAAGTTTGGTATAAATATATATATATATATGTTAATTTATTTATAGACGGTATTTGATTTAATGAAAAACATTCTGTTTTATGATTTAAGTGGTTCAATTTTTCAGCTACATTTTGTAATGTTATTTCATTTAATCACTTTTGACAAAAATTATTCATATTAGAGCCTCTTTCAGCTGCAGCAAAAGATTAATCTGAAGAATCATTTTCAGTTGAGGCCCTGAACATGTTGTTTCACAAAAGCATATGATAAAAAAAAAGAAAACAAATTAAGAGCATTACTACAAATTTGCAATCCCCAGGCAACAGGTATTATCAGTCATAGGGTCCACTAAATCCATCATCTGAAATTCTGAAGCTTGATATCTTGACCATACCCTTAAGTAGATATTAGTTTTTGCACATTATGTTACGTCCCAGAACCAACATACAATAGTAGCGTTTGATTGGCGAAATTTTATATTTTGAGAAAAAAATATATTTTTAAAAAATATAATATTTAAATTTTTTTTATTTTTAAAATATTTCGTGTTTAGATTTATTTTTAAAAAAATTTACATATTTTAATTCTTAAATATTATTATAATCTCCTTAAGGTATATTCCAATTTGAAAACGTGATATGATCTTAATCACAGCCACCCTCATTCATCCAATTTTTTTTTTTTGTGTGAAACATTTGAAACTTTGAAGGGAACATTTTTTTAAGACGTTTTTAACAAAAATGCCTAAAAAGAAAAAAAAAAATTTGGCATTCATTTGGTTTTTGGTTGAAAAACATCTTTAAAAACTTTTTTTTCATTCATTTAGAATTTGAAATGGAATTTTTTTTAAAGTGTTTTTATTGAAAAACACATTTAATAATCCTATTATATTTTTTAAGATAATTATTTAACACGTTTTTTATTGGAAAATATTTTAAATATTCTTATTATATTTTTTTAAAGGGAATTATTTAATCTTGGTCAATTATTTAAGGCGTTTTTAATCAAAAACACCTTAAATAATCTTGTTCATTTTTTTAGGGGATCATTTAAGTTGTTTCTTTAACCCAAACGCTTTAATGTTATGTTTGTATACATATAAATAAAGGAAAAGAAAAGAAAATAAAGTTTTTAAAAGGAAATTAAATGGTATATATATTTTATTTGGATAGTTAAAATTAATAAAAAAATAAAATAAATAAATTCTAACAACTATTGTTATATATAAATAGTGAAAATAAAATAAAATAATTCATTATAATATTTTTTTCAATTATAACATTTTTTTTTATAAAATAACATATAATACACAAATATATATTTATACTACCTAATTTTTATAAATAAATATTTTTAAACAAAATTAAGCATATTGAATAAAGTAAGATATATTAGCTTGCTTATTCTAACAATAATTTAACTTGTTTTGTTGTTAAGATTTAAAAATTCATAAAATATTTTTAAACTGTGATATTATATAAATTACTTATAAAAAATTATTTTTGTAGGAAGTGTTAGTTATATAATCAAATTTAATGTCATAATAAAAATATAGATATAATAGCTTTTTTATAAAAATAATTTTTTTCAACTTTGCTTTCTTTAACTTTTTCCCTAAATTTTAATATTAAAAAAATGAAGATTACAAGAGAAATTAAAAGTTATTAAATTTTTACATATTTCATTTATTTTAAATTAAAAGTTTAACCCAAATAAAAAATAATATTTTTGTTTATAATAATTTTTTTTATTTCATTTATTTCTACTTTCTTCAATTCAAATATAGTGTAAATGATCGATGTTTCTTCAACATAATATTTATTTAAATAATAATTTATTTTTAAGTATTTTTCACGTAAAATATCATTATTTGTAATATAAAAAAAATTAGTAACAAAAATTTACAATTGACTTGCAATCACTTATAGATATGCTTTTTAAAATGACAACTTACTCGTTGAAATTTTAAAATATCATATTAAGATGTTGATTTTTTATTTTAAAACTTTTGATATTATTAAAAATCTATCAAATTCTTTCGAAATTGGATTATCTTAAATTAAACATTGAAATTAAATAATTATTAGTAAGATTCTGAAAAAAAAAAAATTTATAAATTCTTCCAAACTAAATACCTTTTATATTATTTTGAAACAAAATTATTTCCGCTAAACAATGCTCCAAAGTAATACAAAATTTTCGATCAATTCTTTCCAATAAATGAAAGGCTTTAACTTACCTTAAAGAGATTAATTCTTTTGTGATCGACTTTTAATCTTCTAGTATGATCTTTCAAATTTTCGAGCCCTTAAAAAACAAGCGACCTTGCTCTTTCTTTTATTTTGTTAAAACAAAATTAATTATTTAAGTAGGTCACTTTTATCAATTGATTTTTGAATCAATTGAAATAATATTAAAGTTAATATTTGAAAGTTATGAATTAAAAAAATTTATATATAGTATTTTTTAATTATATAAATATAAAAAATTAACGATAGAGATTAAAAATTATATATATATAAAAAAAAACCAGCCATTCTTTCCTTTGTAACTAAACATGTGGATATGATTTATGAAAATTTTCACTAAGACCTTTTATCACCTTACTAGGCTTTCATAACAGTTTAGCCCAAATGATATTTGGGCTGGGTTTCTTTCAAGATAAAATAATTCAAAGCAGCGGTCTTGCTGTGATGGACTTGGGTCCTTAACTCGAGCAAACACGTGTCCTCTAAACCCTAAACACAAATTTGTTATGCTTAATTGCTCAGTTCAGTCCACAAAATCAATCTTTATATTCATCAAGTCGTCACATTTTTTACTATCTTATCACTCATTCAAAGAGAATCGACGTCCGATTTCCTCGTTGGTCATGTAGGTTCACCTTCCACAGTTACTCGCTCACCTGGATCTTATTGTCTATAGAAACAGTTCACCCATAAACTTTTATTAACGTTCATCAACGGATCATTTCACAATAATTTAATTTATCTAAAATTATTAAATATTTTTCACTTTCAATTCATATGATCTTTTCTCAAATTTTATATAAAATTTTTCATCAATTATCAATTACTTACGATTTCATCATTACTCATATCTCATATAAAAAATAAAATTAAAATACTTATACACGATTAGTAAATCCTTCTTCCTTAAACTTTTTACATACTCGGTATAATTTAAGCATAAAAATGCGCTTCAGAGACTAAACTCTCTTTTAATCGTATTTTCCTTGCTGCAGATCCAATCCTCTTCCAGCTCACCATCCAACTCACTTCTATCTAAAATATTCTCAACGAAATTCATCATTTCCAAATTCCCGATAAAAAAAAAAAAGTACATATTATTTTCTTCAGCAATTTATCAGCAAGATAATCTCCTTTCTTCTAACCCGTTAAAGGACCATAAAATCAAACGGCCACCCAATGGTTATGGTACTTTGAGATGAATCGTTGCCCGCCTTAATGCTAGTGCTGCTGCTCTCTAGCAACTGGCATATTCTCCTGCTTTCTCAAACGCTCTTCGAGCAAATTAAGGCAGGAACATGACAGAGACACCTCGTTCCACGTCAGTTTCTTGTATTACAACTATTCTGCTCAATCTCTTCCATTGGTGCATCTTTACGATTATGAGGAATATGACGAACGAGTCTTGACTAAGTAAAAACAAATATACACATACTTTTAAATTTCATCAATATGTACGTTACTAAGTATCAAACCTAGTATCGTCCAATGCCTTCTTGCAAGATATTACCCTGATCAGATATGAATTGTCTAAACATGGGAGTTTGTCTTTGCAGGGTAGTCAATTATCAAGGATTCAATCTTCCTTTTAACTACTAGTGCTATATATAATGCGTTGATGAGGCCAAATACTAATCAAATAAAAACAAAATTACCCAGCCGAAATTTTTTTTTTTTTAAACTAAAAATTACTGAAGAAAATTTAATGATGTAATTTACCTTTCAAGCTACTCATTAATTTTACAGTAGTAAAGTGTGGCAAAAAAACGTTATTTGTCAGGGGCAATATTTTTTTTAGTTATATAAATATAAAAAAATAAGAGGTCAAAAGTAGATTAAAAAATAAAATAAAAAATTGTAAAAGTAACAATGAGTTATTGCTCAATTCTCCAGGATATCTCTGAACCTTCATTACAGTCCAAAAGGCAAAGAAAAAAATTACTTGCGAAAATCGATCTTTCAAGAGGGCAAGAAAATACTTAAATAATCCTGATTAGTGGAGATTAACGTGATTTAATTTAAGTGCATAATGTTTCATAACGTAATTGAGTGTCTCTGAGTTGTCAAATTACTTAAACATTGATTGCGTGTCTTTCAATTCTTAAAGGGAGTAAGTAACATATTTATTATTTGACCATTACGTTTTTAATTTCATGATGAATTTTCAAACTTTTACAAGTCAAGCAACAAATTTTTTTATTGATCACAAATGAATTATTCATAATACTTTTTTTTTTTTTTGAGATTTGGTCCAGAGTATCTTTTAGTTCTTCAAAAATAATTAAATTATTATTTATAAAATATTTTACATTAAATACAGTAATTAATAAATAATTTGATGAGATTCAAATAAAGATTTAAATAGTAGGCTGCAAGTATTACTGATGTCCACTTAATTAATTTAAGCCGCCGGATGGAGATACCAGTCACCAAACAATAGACTTTTTTCTTTTATAATTTAAACAAAAAGAAAATGGGGAACATGAACAATTGAACATGGTTTGTATCATTGAAAGAAAGAAAAAGTTAACCTAACTAAGCATTGAATAATTGTAGTTAAAGCAGATTCTTCCGTAAAATGCTGATCAGTGATCTCCTTCTCTCCGCTGATGATGCTTAAATGCCTTGTTTCCAAAACGTACACTACATAAGATGATCATTAGGAATAGTAATAAGCACTATTATTGTTAAATAATTCCAAGTTTTAACACAGTTCCCAAACCAATTAATAAAAACTATTTAATAAAATAAAAAAACTAATTAATAAAAAACAGTTATAATATTTAATAAAATATTAAAATTTTAATTAGTTTGAGTGATAAATTTCAATCCCTGGTGATTTTATATATTAGATTTATGGGAGCCATTTTATTGTACCTACTGATTTTTACTTACATTAATATAGCATTTATATTAATATAATGATGCCGTCCTTTAGAATCTTGCAGAGAATCAGTCAGGAACTGATGAATGGTATACATGGGCTGTGGCGAACAGCGGTCTCCACACTGATTAAAATGTTCAATTTCAGCACTTGAGACATAAAAATTAAGGATTGATTTTGAAATACAACCAACAAAGTAATGATTCAATTTAATTAAACATACCGTGTCGAAACTATATGTAAGCTGCCACAATTGTGACATTTCTTTTGGCTACCGACAATGCCAAGGAATTTTTTTTTTTTTTTAGCCTTTAGGGTGGGTGGTATTAGAGGAAAATACTTTTTTTTTTTTTAATTTTAAGAACACACTATCTAAGTAAATTTTTTAAAATTTAATTTTGATATAAATTTTAATTATTAAAATTAAAATTTTACGTTATTATCAACGGATTACATGATTAATGATTTTTTTTTATAAATTTTAATAAATCTAGTAAATGTCACATATGATTAAATAAACTAATTAAATTAAAATTTGAATTCAATCTTAGATCTTTTTACTTGGTTGGATTTTATGATATAATATTTTAAAAGGCGAGTGGCCAAAATTATAAATGGATATGTAATATAATATGAATAAATTAAGGGGTAAAAAGAAAATACAAAGAAAAGGCTTCCCTGATTTTTTCCAACGTACTGGAATATCTAACGTGAAGAGGGTTGTTCACTCATCGTGGCATGCCTCATTTCTCCTCGACGTGTAGCCTCTTTGAAAAGAAACGTGAAGAGTGCAACCCCATACCTAATTTTGGTCAAGAAAGTGACTGCCATGCCTTCTTGGCGGCCAATTACGGCCATAATAATTTCATAAACATTGTTGCATTATTTTGCATATATTTTCAATTTTAATATACCTCTTTTTTTGTGGTCTGCACGTCGAATACTTATAAATGTTATAAATTGGACAATTTATGTTGGAATTAGTTATCTAAGCGAATATAGGGTACAACAATATATGTACTAAACGACACATGCTTACTTTAATTCCGTGTTTTTTTTTTTTTGGAGTTACAATTAAGATTTAAAATTTCAATTTTAGAACCGACTACGATGTCATTAAACAATAACCCATTGGTTACTTTAATCGTGTTTTGATTATGAAAATTCAATGATTTTAATTAGAGTTTCGGTATGATTAAATATGTCTCAAACTCTCAAGTAACCCAATAGCAATAGCATGCCTGTCACATCATACCAAATCCCCACATCAAGGAAAGGGATCAAGAGGTGGCCTCGGAAATCAATCAACAAACCCAAAAGAAAAGAACAGAAAATAAAATCAAGAATATATTACGAGTCAATATTGATTTTACCATTATACTTCAGTTTCATTAAAATTTACCATTTTATTTTTATTTTATTACTATAAATTTTATTAATTTTTATATATGAAATAATGAAAATGACAAAAATTTATCATTTTCATTATAAAAGTATGGGTGAAATATTTATATTTTATTAATTTTTTTCTCAAAATCTACAAAATAAAAGTATTACATTAATAAAATATCATGAAAAAACATTTTGATTCCATTATTTTCATTTAATAATTACCAAAAGTAAAATATAACTACAAAATTCAACAAAATAAAAAATATATTGATAAAATTTAATAAAATTAAAGATCAATAATAAAATTTAATATTAACATAATCCAACGATAAAAATTACCTATATCTCAGAGAAAATTTTGCATAGAATAATAAGAAAAAAAATTAAGTTACAAAACACGATATGGTTTAGTACCATGATGTTTTTTTAAGACCAAATCTCGAACTAGTTGTTAAGTGGTAAGACAGAAAAAAAAAAAAAAAAAAACCTGAACACTGTTCCCTCTTCGCACCTTCTTAATTATTAATCCTCTCTCTCTCTCAATCTCAAAAGCTATTTCTCCGTCTTGAAATCCGTTCTCTCTCTCTCTTTCTCGGTCTCCCGTTTGACCCGGTCTATCCCTCTCTCTCTCTCTCTCTCTCTCTCTCTTATTTATCTATCGATTCCATCCCTTTTGAAGCAAATCTACTTTTTTCCCATTTATTGTAATCTCTTCTTTAGGGTTTCGATTCAATTCTTTTTATTTTTAATTAAGAAAAACAATGACTACTAGTTCTTTGAAGAACAACAAGTTGCCTCCTGGCTTGGTTAACAATCTCCAAGAAGTGCTTCTTAGCAGAAAAGGAGGAACCAACAACGATGAACAAGAAAAGGATGATTCTGTTGGTGGTGATTCTACTCAGCCATCTACTTCTACTTGTAATGAAAACGCTGCTGATGACAACGACAACTCCAAGCCTGTCGTTTTGGTTACCAATGGGGAAGGGATTGACTCCCTTGGCCTTGTTTATCTCGTTCAAGCTTTGGTCCGCTTAGGCCTCTACAATGTCCATGTGTGCGCTCCTCAATCGTGGGTCTTTCTTTCTTTTCCCCTCAAATTTCTCTTTTTTTTTTTTGATTTCTGGTTTGTTTTGGTCTAATTTTTGTATTTGTTCACATGGGTCCTTTCCAATTTTTGATTTTTTTGTTTGCTTCTCATTGTTTATATACCATGGTGTGTGTCTCTCTTTTTTTTCCATTGTTTATCAAATTTGGTTTTGTTATTTTTTCTTGACTCTGGTACAAGAAAGGGCAAATAGGCAAATTTTTTATCCATGATAACTCTTGTGTTATGTGTGCGTCTTAGTTTTCGCATTTGTAAATGCCGGTTATATCCAGTTTTGGTTGTTCTGATTTTGCTTAGAAAATTGGATATGTAGTCTAAAAATATGCAATTTCCAATTCTTTTGGCTAATGAATTTGGTAATTTGCTGTGATTTACTAGTTTCTGAATGTATTGCTTCAGGGACAAATCTGTTTCGGGTCATTCCATGACTGTCCGAGAAACAATTACTGTTACTCCAGCAGAAATTGATGGTGCCACAGCTTATGAAGTGTCAGGTGCGATTGGATTTGGCATTTATGTTACTCAAGTTTCCAGTCAAACTTTAATTATGTCACCTTTCTTGAATTGGGAATTTGAGATATCAAACTATATTATTGTAATAAACCGAGTATAGTGTGCCAGAACCATCATTTATGCGGTGAAATTTGGCTTTAAAAAAGAATTATTCTGACTGTTATTAACTTTGATAATAATTGGCTTTAATGATGGTTCTCTGCTTTCAGGGACTCCTTTGGATTGTGTCTCCTTAGCATTGTCTGGGGCGCTGTTTTCATGGTCAAAGCCTCTGCTGGTTAGGCTTTTATCCTGTTATCAATGAATTAAAATATTTTGGTTTTAGGCATTTATTGACTACTATTTTGATGTAATTTCCAGGTAATTAGTGGAATTAATCGGGGAGCAAGCTGTGGTCTTCACATGTAAGTCTTTGAATAGGCCTGCACAATAATACTAATTGAATTTTGCTTTGATTTTAACATGTGGGACTACTACACTCTTAATTGATTATTATAAAAGATACTATAAGCTTTCGTTTGAATATTTATCTCCAGATGATAAAGCTTTGCAGAGCATCTTTTATGTGTTTTTGTTGTATTATCCTGTTAGTTTACCTTCAATCCTTTTTGCTCTTGCTTGGATACTAACTCTATTTATGGTGTGTAATATACCAGGTTTTACTCAGGTGTTGTGGCTGGAGCCAGAGAAGCTTTAATTTGTGGTGTACCATCTTTGTCAATATCGCTGAACTGGTGACTTACAATCCTGTTTATGGGGATTCCGTTTCTACTATTTTCTGTTCATTTTTCATAATTGGATGTTCTTATGAATGTTGGATACTATTGCAGGAAGAATGAAGAAAGCCAAGAAAGTGATTTTCAGGATGCAGTTGCTGCTTGTTTACCTTTAATCAATGCAGCCATCAGAGATATTGAAAAGGGTGTTTTCCCTAAAAGTTGCTTTCTAAGTATAGAAATTCCTACTTCTCCTTCAGCAAACAAGGTTTTGATTCCGTATTTTAGGGACATAAATAAAATATGATTTGATAACAATGATGTGATGCATACTGATGTCTATCATGTTTAACATGAGATATAATAGCACTTTGGGTCTTTAAATTATGATAATAACCTACTGATGTATATGTTGGTATCATTGCTTCCTGGTTGTGTCCTCATCAAATCTTGTCTATATACAACATTTTAAAGGAAAATTGCTTTCTATTAGACAAAAGATTGTAGTTGTTGGTGGTGACAATTTTCTGGGGTTGGTGTTGAGTGCTCCTGTTTTTCAACTCTGTTGTCCTTCTAACGTTAGGAGAGGCAAATTTTTAGGGTTACTATCATCATAAAAAACAATATTTTGCTCGAGCTAATGAGGAAGATCAATGCTTATGCGTTAGAGGAATAGATCTGTTCATTAATTCATATTCATTTGTTTGTTCATAAGTTATAGCATGAATTTGTGTGGGAACTCTCATATAGTACTACTCATATCAGGTTCAAATTATTGAGCAATCTTGAAATTGTTTATATCCATGTCCCTTTTGGAAGCAAACCTCTTCCTTTAAATTTCTTAGATATAGAGATTTGAGTGAGAGTATGGTTTACTCCTAAATTATAATGGATGAGTGAAGTTTCATTGCTTTTGAATCATGTCAAAGAGCTGGATGTTGCTAAAACCAGCATTATCGGAGGTTATTGTTAGAGGAAGCTTCCTCTAGGATCATGCTCTTGACTGATGAATTAGAAGTTTCCCTGATGCGATTTCTCTTTTCAAAGATCAGCACTCCAGCTGATTGTTTTGTCTGACAAATTTTTGGAATATCAAGTATGTGAAGCTTCAAGTAGAAAACATCCAACATTACAACTTGTGAATAGAAGCTTCATTGAACAGGGGAAAGCTTAAATCACCCCTAGAGGAAGCTTCCTCATGGTAGTTGGATGTTCTATAGAAAAGTACATTTTGGCAATCCAAGTTCCAAACATCATTTTTACTCAAATATCCTGTTTTGGATATTGGATTCAGTAATTCTAAACTGTCTGGATATTTAAGTCTGAATTGTGTCTGACTAGACTCAAAAGAATGGCGTTGGAGGTTTGATAGACACCATCTCATTGTGTCTGGTAAGACATAATTCAAATTAAAGTTTTGGACAATTTAACATTAATCGTTTTTATAACCTGTCTAACTATGACTTTTTGTTTCCTTTTTAATGTCTTGCATATAAATTATGTTGGTTGAAGCTTGTGCCCTTAGTTGACTTCATAAACTATTCTGGATGGCTGATTCTTCGTACAGCTTCATACATGATTGTTTAGAACTTATGATCTTTCTATTGCTAATAGTTTCCTGCTCATTTTTGTTTGAATAGGATAACTCTATCTGACAACCACATCAACTAATTCTTTCCTTTTATTTTTTCAAATGTATTGCTCATGTTAAGAGCTGATCTATTAAATGACCTTCTACTTTGATGCAGTATCTGTTTGACTGTTTTATCAGATTTTTTAATCAAATCTGTTTAGCCTGATATTCATTTTTTTTCTTCAAGTCAAATCTATGATTTCCTTACATCAGCTGCATGCTCCCCACCTCTCCTCTCACTTTTATCTTTGCTGTATTCTTCGCATAAAAAGAGAGGCAATGCTGCTAATCCCTGGGATTCTTAAAGTTTCGGATCACTTGATATTAAACAACATTATTTAGTGCTATATTTCTTTCTTTTCAGTATGTTATTTTATATGGTCTTATGCTCAGATAGTCTTGCTTATTCATATGTGATAGGGTTTTAAATTGACCAAGCAAAGTATGTGGAGATCTGCTCCAAGTTGGCTAGCTGTTTCAGCTAATCGGCATCCTTCTGCTGCACATTTCATGTCTAATCAACAAAGCCTTGGACTCCAACTTGCACAGCTTAGCCGAGATGCATCTGCTGCTGTAAGTTTTTTTTTTCCCTTATTGAAAGGAATTGCATCATTTATTTCCCCCTTCCTCAACCCCTCTTTTTCACGTGTGCATTTCTTTACATTAATCTCTTAAATTGGAGGGTCATTATCTGTCACTATTCACTCTTGATAATGTATAAATATCTTCCTTAGGGTGCCGCTCGCCGCGGGACCACACAAAAGAAGAATGTGGAGATAGAGTCTGTTGGGGCTGCTAAATCCGATACAAATAAAGTGAAAAAGTACTTTCGAATGGAGGTATGGAAGATGTAAAAGTTCTTAATTGCTATAAAACCAAATTCTTATTGCCCTTGTAGTTGTGAAGCTGAGAATGAGAAATCCTTTTCTTTATGACTTTTTTTAAAAATAATATTAATTTTAAAACATTTTCTGGTTTCAGTAATATATTTAAACATTTCCATAGAATCATGGTTTGGCTACTTTTTCTTAAAAGGAAAAGTCAGTTATTTCGTACAGGTTGCATATGCATCTCAAAAGCTTAAAAAAGCTACGCTTTTTGTTTATACTCACTTTTTCTTGGTCTTTCACCAACCTTTTCTGGTATCCATCAATGCTTTATTTTGGTTATGAGTAACTACAATTGATATGAGTATATATATGTATATTGCAGTTTGTAGATAAAGAACAGGAAGATACAGATGAGGATTTGGATTTTAGGGCACTTGACAACGGATTTGTAAGTTAAACCCCTATTATTTTTCCCTGAAATTGGTGTCATTGAATCATGCAGGAATGGACGACTGATTTTCATTTTCATTTTCACTTTCCCTTGAGTCATGAAATTGACCTATATTTATATTACTTCAATAGTCGTTGATTTGGTTCTTCAATTTTTTGCTTGAAATTCTATAGATTGCAGTAACTCCTCTATCACTTTCTCCACAAATCGAGTCAGGCATTCAAACGGCTGCTTCAGATTGGATCTCTGGTGCACTCGAGCAGTAGAATCTTGGGACCAACAATGAAATCTTATTTGTATAAAACTGCAGGAACCATTACGTTTAGTCATCAATTGATTTGTGCTTTTCTTGTTCCCATTTCATTTTTTTTTCTTTCAAAAGGGTCTTCCAAAATTATCATCAAGCTGGGGTGTCTTCGTTTGTTCTAGTTGTTGATACAAGGAAATAGCATCATTGGTCTAAATTATGTGACCCTTGTGCTTTCCAGATTGTTTTTTTTTTTTTTTTTTTCCCTGACCACCATTTTTCCTTTTCCTTTTTATTTATTTTGGATTTGTATGTAATGTAATCTCGAATTTGTTTTTTTATTCTTAGACTCGAAGAATGAAATTCAAATCTCTCTTTTGCAAATATTTATCCTACAATAGTGATGTGATGGGCTGGTCTAATCAAAAGCCCAATCGGCTGGTTGGGCCTAGTGAACAACATTATTGGGCCTTAACAGGTTGATACGTTAACAAACTTGTCTTTTTCTTTCGTTCTTATTTCCTGTGTCTTATGCCGTGTCTCCGGAGGCAAAACAGCTATTCGACGGGAAAAAAATAAAGAAAAGAACGGCGACTAAAGCCCAAATTAGAACCGGAGCGTCTCTAATGAACCGGCTGATAATGAATTCGATTCTCAGTCCGAACCAGATTCTTGAAGCCACAACCCTCTCTACTTTTGCCTCAAAACGACGCCGGTTCCCTCTCTAAAGTCTACCTCTATCCCACTGGCCCCTTTACACATACAATGGAGTCATCATGAGATGCAAGCAAGGAAAAGGATGCTGGTGCTTTTGCCTGTTAGTTTTTACTGCTAAGAGCCACTATCATTATGATGTCGTTAAACCTTAATGGCCATATCTTTCTGGGCCCCTAACAGCTGCCTGATTTCCAGTTCACTACCTGTGTCAAACATTGATGAAATGCTGCAGCAGCCGTGGGAATGTGCCTCTCCATGCCCATTCCAATTGGGCTTAAAACACTTTACCTTCTACTCTTTAAAAACAAAATTTCCTCTCAATGCATGTTAAATGCTGCAAATTTAATGTACAGTATTACTACCAACTTTGTAACGGATCTTCTGGAGGCATAAATAATGTATAGTATCTCTATTTTGTTGGAACCAAAACACTATATAATCGTGGGATATTGACCCATTGGCTGCATTACCATACCGAACCATGTGATATGTAGATACATTATATTTTTGTTTGAATTATGTAAATTCTTTCTTGTTCTAACTTATATTGCAAAAGTCATGATGAGTTACTTTTCTATATATATTTAATCCTACATGCTCTAGGCTCATCTGTTTCCAAATTGCATTTACGAAAATTGAAATAGTTTTGGAAACTTCGAATCTAACAATCCTTAAGGCCACAAAATCACCTGTTACTATATATATACTCTACACGTTAATCTTCATTATTCAGCATCGTCAACAATTCCTATAACTTTTTTATTAACCATATAAAATGCATGAAAATAAGAACCAATAGCTTATATTTAAACTCTAACACCTACAATTCAATACTTTTCCTATCCTCAAGGTGTAATTTTTTTATATAAAAAAAAAAAACAAGTTGCAACTTTTTTTTACCAAAAAAATGAGAGAGAAGGAGAAAGTTATATATATATATATATATATATATATATATGTATGTATATGTACACCCATACAGAGAGGAAATGATAAACAAATAGAGAGTAGTTAGCTAGAGAAAAATATATAAACTGGTGTCCAAATATAATTTGGACGAGTAATATGGGAAATTAAGAACCTACATTTATTTGTGGAACATCATCATCAGACAGCCTTATCCTTACTGAATTTATCTGAAACTAGTAACATTTAGGTTTTAATTTTCTCTCATAACTACGCTCCACTTCATATATATATATATATCTTATGCATATATATATTTCAAGAAAATAATTGCTTTTGTATGGAATGAGCCCGTAGACAAATAACTATCTCAATCCAATCTCAATTATAGTATAAGATGTGAATCCGCCATTCCTAAGGGTCCCAGCTGCTTGAAGAAAGATTAGGGTTTGTAATATATTGCCCACTGGATAATGCTGATAAGGAGGAGGAGGATGACGATGATGGCATTGATGTGATGATGGTATCAATATACTCCATCGGGCATGTTGCCGTGTGCATGTCATGTGCATAAGATGAACCAGCAGATATTGGAAAACATGATGAGAGCCTGGAGACTACTGGGTCGATGTTTTCTAATGAGACAGATGTTTGTGGCATGCTGTTGCAGATGTCTCCTTCAAGGATTTCACAGAGTTTGGGCACTGTTGGGGGAGCCATTAGCGAGTGGTCGTAAGGAGTTAAAGCAGTGGTTGGATTGATAAGCTTTTCACTTGAAAAATTTTGAAGTACTTCATTGCTGAAAATTTGGACGTGATCTTCTTGATTTTGATGATGATCAAGATCATGTTGAGGTACAAAGGGCAATGGCCATGAAGGGTCAAAGGAAGATCTATTTGAATGTGGTGGGAGCATTGGGGTTAATGAGAAATGATGGTGAACCAAATCAATATTGTAATTGTTTGGGTTTGGCTTGAAATCTGCATGTTGAGCAAAACTTTGTAGCACCGGTGCTGTGGGGGAAAGATAGAGCTGGCCTTGTTGAGCACTAAGGATCAAATTAGGGTTTGCATTTAGGGAGATGAAACTTTCCTCTGGAGGTGTAGAATTGTGAACATCAGCGAAAGAGGCTAAAGCTGGAACATCATGAGAGATAAGCTTCTTCTTGATACTTGAATTCCAAAAGTTCTTCACCTCATTATCTGTTCTCCCTGGTAGATGCTTTGCTATCTGTGCCCATCTGTTTAATGTACAAATATGATCATAAAAAAAGACATTAATGATTACTATGATGATGGTAACAATTAAAAGAAGTCAAAAATATTATTTTAGTATATATAATATATAGTTGAACTACCTGTTGCCCAGAATACTATGGAGTTCAATGATGAGAGCTGCTTCTTGTGAAGAGAAACTGCCACGTTTTAAGTCAGGTCTCAGGTAATTTATCCATCTTAATCTGCAGCTCTTTCCACATCTTTGCAGGCCTGTATCATGAAACAAACCCAAAAAGGAACAACAACACAATTAAAAAAAAAAAAAAAAGGAATCAAATGTAGTTGGTATTTGCAGTTATATTCTGCAAAAAAGAAAGGGTTAGAAAAACTAGTGCAATTGAGATGGTAAAAGAAAAAAAAAGGAAAAGAAGGATGGTTATGAATCAAGAAACCATGCATCCAGAGAGAGGAAAAACCTGCAAGTTTAGGGACTGAGCTCCAGCAACCATGGCCATAGGTTGTAATGTAGTTAATGAGTTTCTCATCTTCCTCTGGTGACCATAGCCCTCTTTTCACCTTCTGCTTGTTGCAACAAGAATGGTGCCCCATCTTTCTCTCTCTCTCTCAGAATATTGCAGCCAATTGCAGGCCAGAATCAGTGCCGAGGATTTGTTTATTTTAAAAGTGAAAAAGAAAAGCAGATCAGAAAGGCGGAGAGAGAGAGAGAGAGAGAGAGATAAAGTAGTTTTAATTTCTGTATACGATGAAGATCAGACCCAAGCACTAGAAGTTATTGGTTTACAAGAAAAAAAGCTTTGAACTGAGGATAATTTGAGAAACTGATCAGATTACACTGAGGGTATGAATTTAATGTAGGGAGCTGTACCATGGTGGCCCAGTTAGGGTTTCCGGGCAAAAGGCTAAAATCTGCAGTGTCAACCTGTAAGAGCTGTATGGCTTATAATGGGATCCCCTCCTTTGCTTCATTTCTCAGAAATGGGGCAGCCCTTATACATGTGGCACATATGCAGGCTTGTGGGACCCAATGTTCTGACAGGTCTCACTTTGGACTTATCAACTTCATGTAGGATCAAACATGTTGAAATATTGGATGAAAATTTTCTGACTTCTGAACTTCCAATCCCTTAGTTGCAATGCAAATATGGGTTTCAAAAATTAAACTTCAGCTAATCTGACGGTTGCGATTGTATGAAATTTTTGATGTGATCTTTTGTGCGTCATGATTGGATCAGTGATCAAACAGTAAGCAGACCGTATTTTCAGACACAAAACCTTGCATTGCATATATGTTCTGATCTCTTTATTTTTACAAATTGACAGCAAAAGGTTTACATATAGAACTGTATCCCCTATAAGTCAATCTTTTATCGTCATACTGCATTTTTTTGTTAAAAAAAAAAAAGCATAATTTAAAATGGGAGTCTCAAATTTAATGTGTAGATTTTAATAACCAACCATGTATTTCTGAAAAAGCAAGGTGCATAGCTTCAAACTGATCAATGTCAAATGATTTCCTTCCAAATTCAATAGTGACTTATATTTTTACCAGCTGCAATTATAATCATCAAGATTCAAGAGTATTTCTTTTCATTTTTACTTATTGGGTTTAATTTTCTGCCATGTTATTTATTATACTCAATATGCAGCATGCTTTAAATATGCATCAAAACTAGACAATTAGTATCAATTACCCCGTTGAAAAATTAACAGTATCTCTAAAAATCACTTTGGAAATGCCAAAACGATTGTTTGACATCTAAGCAATGGAAGACAGCGATCGAAAATTCCAGATGAAATAATTATTCCTCCTCAGGGACCACATTATATTATTAGAGCCGAAATTACAGAATTTCTTTCATTTCATGGACACATTATTGTGTTGCCTAATGTACATCTAGGGGCTCAGTACTGTTACTGTTGTACTGAAAAATTCAATGCAAATCTGGATTTTTTTTTTTTTTCAATTTTGCTTGGATTAGACGAGATTGGATGGCCATATCTTTGGACAAGAGTGGCCACCCTATCCTGAAAAATGTAAACATCTATTAAAGCAGAGATGCTTAAATCAATTTACTTTTGAGCTATTGATTTTCATGAGTGGGTCATAGAAATTGTATAATATCCAAAGAGACTAAGAGAGTCAGAGAATGTTTTTTGGCTGATTAAGGAGGTAATAGATTTCAAGACATAGATCAACAGAGAAATCACTAGCAATGATATCATTAATGATGCCCATAAGGGTCAGTCTAGCTGGTAAGGGAAGAATTTTCTTTTTTATCAATTAGGGTTCGATTTTTGTGAGAACTTTAAAAATAAAATCTTGAATACACTAAAACGATATGAAAGAGTACATTATTAAAGTCCACGAAGAAACGATTAATATCAGATAAAGCTTAGGATACCCTGACCATATTAAAACCAAAAAAAAAAAAAAAAATCATCAATGAAAGAGTTAAAAGAATTTTTAATCAAGGCTTTGTTATGATTGAATTGGGGTCACCTAGCTAGTATACAAATGCACAAATCCATGCTCTTTCCAAATTAAGCAGGCAGTTTTTTATGGTAACATCAAAGAAGGGGTGACAAGACTGGCATGCAATGAAAGCTTGGCCTTCATCTTTTCTTACTCTATTCATTCTCCATTTTTTTTTTCTTACTACTATAACTTGGACGATATTGGGAATACAAATTAATGAGCATCAAAATAAAGGCTAAATGATATTGGTAACAACAAATTAATGAGCAAGTAAAATCCAAGTTCTTAACAACATGCAAGACGTTTTCTCTAATTTGTAGTCAATTCGTAGATGTGATCAATCACATATTAAAAACGTTGATCCTTTCTTTGCTATAGTCAAATGGAAATTAAGTATTTAGCATGCTTCATGTTCTGATAATTATTGTACTAATTGATGGCTGCAAATGTGACGTTCAAGAAGACAATGATAACTAGGGAGAATATAAAATTAATGGTGATTATAACTATGCCGGCCTTTTTTTTTTTTTTTTTTTGTCAATCTTTGTTCATTTTGATTAGGCAATTTCCAGGCTAGATAGCATAGAATGTTTAATTGTGTACCTTCAAAAATGATTTCCAGGCTGAAGCATTTTTACAATATTAATTTTACATCAATTAAGGCGAAAATAGAGTCGGTTTTCTTTCTATTGAATAGTATTATATAAAGGATAATCATCACACTTTCATTTTCTACCAAAACCAGGGTAAGGCAGTTGAAAAGGTGAACTTTCTTTTGTCTTTCCACCTTAGTACATTTAATCATGAAAAGAAAACACCCTGTTAGACCCATACGAAAAAAAATTAATAATAACCCGGTATGATTTACTATAATTTTCTTTTTCAGTTTCTGGCAACATAGGTATGCATACATATCATTGGTTTTGTCTTGCGTCGAATACCCTAATTTTCATTTTTGTATCATTTTCAAAGTTCGAAAGTAAAAAGACATAAAATTATATTTTTTTCCAAAAATTGACTGTCAAAATTAAAAAATATTAAATGTAAGGCCGTAGGGAGAAAGTATATATTATATTTTGTTTAGATGAAAACAATACATTACATGCTATATATATATATATATATCATTAATTCATAATTATAATTCCTGTAGAGGAAAGTCCCTTACAACTTTCTTGGGCAAGGTTTCTTTCATCGAGTTATATTGCTCCCTGTCTCTTCTTGCAATGCAAGTAATATATATACATATACGGGAAAAATAGATTTGCACTTAATACGACTGTCCTAGCTATTTCAATCCTTTCTCATGGGTTAATCATGATATATACCTAGGTTAGTTGGCAAATTCATAACTATTTTCCAATGAAATATAAAACCCTCCATCTTGAAATTCATCACATTTCTTCAAGTAGTATAAAATCTAAACCAATTTTAGTAACACTAAAATTTGGGTCTATACAAAAATATATATGTGAAAGAGAATCTGAAATTTTGATAAGTACTCTATTCTTTGCATATATGTAAGACAATGGACTCGTTTTAGTGTTTTTTGGCATGTTATTATAATAAAATAGCTCTTAATTTTAGCAAAGTATTTAACTTTAAACGAATTAAGGGTTCAAAATTGTGTTATTTTCCTAATTTTGATACTTGGCGTCCAAATTAGCTCAATGGGAATTTCTCTCCTTTTGACCAACATCTATTTTGCTGAATATATTGGTTCAGCCAGTAGAAAATGATAGAGGATAGAATTATACTAAATGTGTTGGCATCTATGAATAATTAACTTAATCAAACCTTTTTTACAAATTTAGCTACGAATTAAAGTCGAGGATACTGTCGTGACAATCTTAATTTGAAGACTTGATTTTTTAATTAGTTCATAGTCACGAATCATTTAATTTATCACGATCTTTTTAAGTACCTATCAATGTTTATATATAAGCTGAAGTGTCAACATTGGAAATTAGTTGGTTAATTATAATGAATTATAGTGAAAGTTACAGTGTAGCTAACACTAATTAATTGAGATCAGTCTAAACATGTTTCACAAGGAGGAATAGGCAAAGCAATTCATGGAGAAGTAGGGATTGGTACAAAAGGGGTGAGTCTTTTGAGTTATGTTTTAGCGAGCATTACGGTTGGACTAAGGCTTTTGTTTTGATTAATGATGAAAAACAATATGCAGTTTGCAAAATTAGCTTGCCCTTTTGCTTTTCACCATCTTCTCTTCTTGCTTTTTTGTCTTTTGAGTTATAATTGGAGTTCAAACTCTAAATCATCAATTTTAAAATCGACTCCAATATCATTGAATTAACAGCTTACTAATAATTCTTCTTGTTTCCTATACGTTGAACCTTCTAAAGATGAACAAATATATCTAAGTCAATAATTTAATATTCATATTTAATATATAAAATATTTTCACAATATCTCAGATGCAATGGAATATATACATATATATATATATAGTTGATAATATAATAATATGAACATATTGTATTTTTTTTAATTTTTAAGATCAACAAAAACTAATATTTATTATAAATGAATTCACATATATATATTTATATTTTATTATACGATCAGGAGTATTCTTAAGTTTTACTTAGGTTTAATCTATTTTTCTCAAAAAGAAAAAAGAATCCTTAAAGCAAATGCTTTCTTGCGATGTAATAGGGTTGAAAATCATATATCGAAGGTTAATTACATTTTAGACTTTAGTCTTGCTTTGGAAAGAAAAAGTGAAGAGAGATAGGAATGCTTGTGATGGAAGAAATTAATAGGACCAATCAAGATTCTTGATTTTATTGTTGCACATGCAACAATTAATAGCCTCAGCCTCATTTGCTTTATTTGTCGAGTCATCAGAGGACACAAGCTATGTAAGAATTTTGTTTTTTACCCCCACAACTCACTGAGCCATCAAAAGAAGTACACAGAAAAAAATGATTAGGTAATTCTTTGTCCTCTCTCCGAAGAGAATTGGCTATGGTATTGGTCAGTTTCATTTAAATTTTGATAAAAAAAAATGAAAATTTAGAAAATTTCGCTTTTCCATATCGTGGGGAATTTTCGGAGAGAGGCACTATCCTTTTCCATTCTAAAAATACCCCAAAACCATAAGCAAAGGAGTGTAGATTTTTACAGTAAGTTATGAACTTCTCACCTAAATTTAACTCTTCTTCTTGTTCTATTATTTTCTTTTTTTTCACTCATAAAACTAACTCATCTTCAGATGACCTAAGATCACCATTTTTATAACTTCCTTTTTACTTCATTTCTCTTAACAATGGCAAGGTGAACCAATTAACTTTGTTACTTCATAAAGAACAACTCGAAGAGTCCCATATAAAAGCCTGAAAAGATGAGAGGTGGGACACATGAACTCCAATGGAGTTTGCAAATGTCAAAGAGAATCACTTTATACCTATCTAAAGGTTAAACATTCATACTTGAAAATCATGAAAACTAGGCATTAATCATTAATTTGGCCCACCCCAAATAACATATAAGAAAGAAACAAATTAGTATTATTTATGATTTGGTTAAACTGAGAATATAATTAAATTCCCAAGCTCCCCTTGTCATCCATGCACATTTAAATCACCCCCTCTACTCTACCAAACTTAGAAAAGTTTGGATCCAATAGTCAAACTTGTGGGCATAGAAGATTTAAAAATGTTGAGCAACTCTAGCTATCAACAAAAATAAACTAGTTAAATTAGGGTTTAACTCAATTATTTCATGCAGCAAACTTTAAAAAATAGCATTTAGTAGGTTTAGATTCAGATTTCCGCATTTATAGTCTTTTCCCTTATTTTGGAGTTTCTTTTATAAAAAAACAAAAAAATATTGGAAGTAGCTATATTAAAAAAAAACAGGCTTTATTCCAAATTTGATCATCTCATCATAGAAATCAAACCTATATATCTTCACCAAACTATATATATGTGAAGAAGATTGTACATAGTTATTTCATTGGGCATTCCACTTTATACAAAGAAGATGCAGTGAAGAAGATGAAAAAAACTTTTAGACCAAAAAAGGTAGTGAAAACAAATGATAAAATGTACCCCATTATGCAACAAAATAGGCAGTCTATTAAGACCCCACACAGCCTTTCCTTCTCTTCATGGCAACCCCCCCCCAATGAAAGAAAGTCCATTTGTTTACTCAAAATTGAAGAAAGTTAATTTCCCATACCTTTTCTTTTTGCTTTCTCTTTAACTTGAGAATCTTTATCGCGTTTCTACATGAAAGAAGTTTTTTACAGCTTTTGGTCCATATCCTGATTTCTTGCACATCCTCCACATGGGAATGCTATTGAATTGATCAAGTGTTCATTTGTGAGGACATAGTCCATGCATTTACGATGAAGTCAAACTTTAACGAATTGGAGCATACTGTCTAAAAATTTTTGAAAATTTCTGAAATTTTTATATATTCAATATTTTGAACTAGTTTTGTTTATATATAAGAAATTCCTAATCTGCGCTAATTAAGTGTTGCTAATTGATATTATTAGTTGAATCAAATTAAACTTAATCACGTGATTAAATTTATATAATTATTTTAACAAATATGAAGATTCGAAATTATATAAAAAAATCCGAAGAAAATATACTATCACTTGCTGACCAGTCTAATTAACGAGGTTAACCAATGATATTGATTTAATTCAGTCCCTTTGAATGTTCTTGGGTTGATTAAATTCTATATATTTTTATTGCTTAAAAAATGGAGTAGGCAATTCACAGTATTGAGGGAATCGAAGGGATGATGTGATATGTGTGGTCCTTTCGAAAATGAGCGTGAATAACGGACCATAGTTTTGACATTTATAATTCAGTATATGAACATTAATTGTTTTTAATGATACTAAGACTTGAACAATGATTGAGGTTTGGTCATATGATGACATGCGTCATCAACCTTAATTATTGCTAATCAATGATTAGAGAAGTCTTATGGTAAATCATCATTCTCATGATGAAAGCTATGCTTGTCCACTGATCTTGGACTGTCTTAATTTCTTAGCCTTTTTTTTTTTTTGGGGGGGGGGTTGGTTTCAAAGTATATATAGTAGTATATAAAATTTCAATGAGAAGCTGATGTGGCACCAACATATTTGTTCAATGACTTAAGCTTAATTTGGACCTCACCGGTGAAATTTACTTGCTTTTTTCAGTTCAAACGTACTATTTTTTTATTTGGATGTGATTTTTGAGACATGATTAATGTAAACAGCTGGATAACTCTAGTGAAACTTATGTAATCCCATCGCAACTTTTCTTTTAATTTTATTCTTTTGATTCTTTTTTGCCCTTATAATTGTAAGTTTTATTTTATTTTTTTTGTTTTTACATTTTGAATTTTCATTTAAAAATATTGAAATAATTTTGTTAATTTAATATAATAAAAATAAAATAATATTTGAATCAAAAATAAATTAATTAATAAATGTTATAAATAACATTAAAATACTCATAAAAATAATTTATCAACACTTTGAAAGTAAAGGTTTTAATGATTATTTTTTATTTTCACTTCATTATACTACTTTTAATCTCACCACTATAATAACTAATCTTATCCCTATTACTGTTTTTAATTTTATTGTCTATCCAAATGGAGCTTTAATATTAATAAAATGATCATGAAATTATGAAGCGAAAATTTTTTTATTTAAAATTATTTATAAGATTAATTTTGAATGCCCTATTCTTTTAAGATAATTCCTATGTCATTTAGTAAAAGCTTGGTTCTCTAACCACATTGCAGTTCTCAACCTGAGTTTATCAACTTTTAGTTCGTTGCTTTTCATTCAATAAAGTTGTTTGTTTCTTTGTTCAGTGCTCTCTTTCTTTTTTACAAAGAGAATCAATTTGTTTCATTTACGTTTCAAATCAGTTGTGACAAAATAGAGGAGCCAAATGAGAAAAGAAAAGAAACTCTTACTGGATTTTCGAGCAAACAAAAAGTGTTGGTTTGGGCATGCAATGACAGAAACCCGACATTGGAGAGGCTTAAGCCAAAGCCAAACATGAGTTGCTAATTGGGGGCAAAATCAAACTTTTCTCAAACTCGTTTCAGTTCTTACACAATAATATTATACTACAAAAAAGTCTTTTGCAGGATTCCATTGTAGGATACAAAACACATAAAATACTTGTCGTGGTTACATAAAAGAATTTCCTTGCCGTCTACCTTGACGCCACTGATTCCTTAGGCAATCTTGTCTACCTATTTCTCTTGGTCGGTACAGCTCCCTGGAGAAGTTAAATGATGGATTGGAATCAGCACTGCTCCTTGTGTCCTCACAAGAAAGTGTCATCAATTTCTTTTGAAAATATTGTAAATCATCATCAACCACATGTCTTCTCATATTATCTGAAGAAAACCTGAAAATCTTTTGTTTAGCTTTAATAGACTCTGTAGGATTCATGTAGCTTGGTTTTTGAGTATGATTATCTTCTAATGTGGCTGCAACGAGAGTGTTGCTAGACAATGTAGTTGGAGATACCGATGCAGATGAGGTTGATGTTGAGCTCTCGTCATAGACAGACTCAGAACTTGGGGCAGACAATGAACCAGAAGTTTGAGTGGATATAGGAGGTCTTGCGAGAATTCTGGTTGTGACATTGTTCCTTCTTACTTTTAGGGAGTCATGTTCAGAAGAGCTGGAGTGAAAGCTGAAAATGTTGTCTTCACTTTTCCGAGAAAATGATGATGGTTCTGTAATCTCTTCCATCGTCCTGGTTTCCCAGGGCTTGGTTGCCATCCAACGTTCTAGCCAATTCCAATCTTGACGATTCCTATCTAGCCTTTGATTCTTGCGAGAGGCTGGCTGGTTGTTTGCTATCGCATTCGGACTGGCACATGATCTTGACTGCTGAAAATAAGTACTAAACGATTAAACTCAAACATCAAGGAAAAGGATTCTATTTCCACCATTCAACACAACTTTGGCATCAACTTCAATCATGTTTTCAAGCTAGAGTACCTGTTTTAAGACAGAGTATGCTATTGCTCTCTCCCTCTTGATTGCACCTTCTTGTCTCATTTGCTGTTTCGCTCTTAGTTCTTCTAAAGTTCCCATACTGTCACACCATCCTTTCTGATAATTGTCAAGATATGTTGTATCAACAACTTGTTATTATCATATACATAAGAAAGAACAGCAACCGATCTAACCTCAGCTTGTTTGGTTGGGTGATCAGTTTGGTTGTGGTATTGATCCATTAGTTTCTGCACAGCTTGTCCTTCTGAAGAAATCACACATTGTGCTCTTACTCGAGCCTGGACCCTAACAAGAGCTTGCATACACCTTAATGTTACAGCAGCTTGCTTTCGGACTTGACGACCACGGAATATAGCTTGAATCCTTACAACAGCTTTCAACGCCCTTAGAGCTCGTCTTGCCTGCGAGCATTTCATCACCTTATTTAAATTTCCCCGGAAAAAGAGAAGCATTTAAAAAGCAGATGAACAAAGTTTCATAAAAAATGTACTCAAATTTCCATTAGATTGAACGTTTGAGCACTGATTACTGGGATTGGTCCAGGAATAGCATTCTTAAAATGAGATGAAATAACGGGAAAACATGATTATGGCCAATTACCAAAAGACTAATTCTTCCTAAAGACTTTCACAACTCAATTTACCAAAATCATGATGCTTTTTTGCAAAAGAACAATCTACTAAGAAACGTTCTATTTTCCCCTTTTTTATTTTCTTTTATCAACATCAATGCAGAAATAAGCTGAAATTTCATCCATATCTCACAGGATAGACCTTTCTGAAATTTGAACTCGATCGAGTTGATTCCATTCCCCAAATAAAAATTAACAAAGAACCGCAAGGTTAAATATAGAAAAAAAAATTAAATTTCATACAATTCTTAATCTGAATGATAGATATCAAATATAATATAAATAAATTAAATTTGATATTTCATTATTATTATTATTTTATTTTTACATATAACTTACATTTTTTTTTGTAAATGCTAAAATATGAAATGCATTTAAATTTCAAATATTGATGATAATTAACTATATTATAATCTTCAACTTTATATCTCTATAATTTATTGATGTAAAAAGTAACTGGCACAATTTTAGGTATATAGATGATAAATAGATACTACATAGTAAATAACTAAATACATAAATATAAAAATATGAAAAATTATATAAATAAATATGTAATTAAGTAAATAAATAATTTAATAAAAAACTTAAAATATATAATCAATTTATTTGGTGAATAAAATACATATTTAACTTATAATGTAAAAAAAAATATTTAAATAAATTTACTTTGTCAATTTTCAATCTATATGTTGTTATTAATTTTTAATACAATAATCATTATTGATTCTCATTTATATTATTAGCTTTATAAATATCAAATATATTTTAAAATCACATTGCAGGAAAAAGGAACTTGGCGTGATGAATTATGCTTTCTACTGCACTATCACGCCGTTTTATCATTAAATTCATCCCTTCCACCATCACCCAAAGCATTAATCTTTGGATTTCATATTTCTAAACTTTGAGGATTAGGAAATATTAAAATTTATAGTAGCTAAATTATTCATCGAATGGAAAATATTTATAGTACTATCAACTATATAAAGAGATTGAGGAGCCCATGTACCAAGAAGCCTCGAAATGCAGTCTGGATTCGAATCGCTGCCCATTCTCGCTTAACAGTTCTGAAATCTTTGGGTTGAGCACGAACAACTGTAGCCATTGCTGCAGCGAGCACATCATCTACCATGAAAGATGGACCGGAGACCTCTGAAGCAGCCACGTGACGCATCTTGAGACCCTTGGATGAGGAGGACCCGAACCCTTCCGATGAGCTCCTCCATAGCCTCCACTTCTTCTTGGTCTTATCTCCAACCTGCTCCTACAAAACCAATTATAAAAAATGAAAACGCAAAAGCAGAAAAAAAAAGAAAAAGAGATAGCTAGAAAATGGTGTTCCTAGTTTTGGATTGAGCAAAATTACCTGATTACTGGGATCTTGAAGCGGTTTGAAAGTTATAAGAGATTTAAACCATTTTCCTGAGGCACCCATTTTTGGAATTGGAAGAAAAGCTTCAATTTGCAGGAAACAGAGCAAGTGCTATTAACAGGTTGAGAGGGAAAGGTGATTTGGAATTTAGGAACCGTTGGGCGTTGTTGGGGTTTGAGCAAAGGGTGAGTGAGCATTTTATTGGGAAAGATAAGGTTTTGAATTTTTGAAATTTAAAAAAAAAGTAATACTATAATAAATTTTCTTAACGGATACATTGACTTTTAGCTTTTGGACTCGGTCCGAACGCTCCTTGTTACAATTTCAAAGGTTGCACAGTTACAGTCGGACAAGTTTAAAAATTTTAAGAATTATAAAATCAAAAGTGGTTTTTTTTTTTTCTTACGAGGCCATTTTTCTTAATAAAGGAGGTCGGAACAAAAATTGAAAGTACTTTAATTTTAATTCATATATCTTTTAAAAATATTATGAATTAATTGAATTAAATTTAAAATTTAAAGATCATGATTTTTTTAGTCTTTTTTTTCTCTTAATTATGATTTATATTATAAAAGAGAGTTAAAAAATAAAATTTTAAAATATTTGATTTCCACGTGTAAATATTCTTACTGGAAGATTTGTTCACCACAAAAAAAAAAAAAAAAGTTTCATGGCCTTGAGTTTCCAATTTTTCTTTCTGGTGAAAATCAGTCCCTTGAGTTCCAATTTTGGCAAAGCAACCTTATCAACCTTTTTAAAAGCAATAAGAAATACTGCTACATCCTTTTCTCTTTTTTTTTTTTTTTGAAAATTGAATACTACTATTATTACTATATATCCAAAATGAGCCATAAGTTTCAAATATTTTTTATCTTCATTAAATAAAAAATTAAAAAAAAAAGTTTGAATCATAGAGGGTGAGGAGTTGACATTTTTGAGGAGCCATGAACATTGTTGCCTGTTGGGGTCTGCTGGACCTGTCTCTTTCTATGCCAACTTTTTTTTTTTTTCTACAAATTCTATGCTAACCCCAATGAAATTCAAAAATGTTGTGCAAGACATGAAATATCTTATGTCATTACTATCCAATTAAGGAGTAATCAAGTTTCTTCTCTCATCTGACTTTTCATGTTTGGATAGCAAGGTATTGTTCATTTATTTTTTCATGTTCAAATTTTTTATGTAGGCAATCTTCCTTTCTATATATGCTATTTGTTTATGTATGAAGGAGAGAGGCTTTTGAAATTTATTTGCAATAAAAATTAGAGTATTCGAGTTATAAGTACAATTCACAAGCTTTGCATAAAACCATCTCTAATCCAAAAGGATTTCTCAAAACTATTTAGCAAAAAATAAAAAATCTTCAAAATGACCTATACAGTCAATGTCAAGAAAAAAAAAAAAAAAACCTAAGAATGTGTTTGTTGCATAAAATTATTTTATGTAAGAATTATGATAAAATAATTTTATTTATAAATTAAAATTATTTTTTTGAAGTTTATATAATTTAAATTATTGATTTAATTTTTAAAAATATAATAAAACATGTAAATTTAATTTTATAGATTAAAAATAAATATCTTTTTTTTTAAATGATTGAATCATTCTATACCATAAAAAAATTAATATTTTTTGTATTCTTATTTTTTAAAATACAAATTAAATATAATATAAAATAATTATTATCTTATTTTATTTACCATCTTATATATGGAATATAACGTAAATATTTGAAAGATCAACAAATTTGTACTTCTTGAAAAACAAAGGCCTATGGACTAAAAGAAAACAAAGTCTCATTTGGTGATTTTTTTTTTTTTTTTTGGTTAATTACAGGACTAATTGCTAGCCGAACCTGGACCCTTGGGCTAACGAGTCCAAGGATGGCAACCCTAGGAGACACGTGAACACTACTACTTGATCTGGGAGAAGGAATTGGGCCACGAGTAAGCGAAGGAAGTCCTTGCTTGGCCCTTGGTGATAAATTGACCAGTTCAAGTGCCTTGAATTGAAGCTGTACCGGGTAGTCTCCGACAAAACCAATGCGAGGACCCACCCCTGTACTCCATTTGTACCTCACAGCCTTTGGCTTCCCCAAATCATACGGCGCAGATTTGTCAACTAAGCTGTTTCCGTCACCATTTTCTTCATTGTGATGATCTTTTCCAACGGAATTCTCTTTGGCATGAATTGGATCGATGTTATAATTAGTAGACGAAATATTTTCAGTAGTTTCTTTAGCAGATTCTGGTAATTTCATTCCTTGTGAATTGTAACTTCTCCGGGATATCATCATCTATTGGATATTTCTGCAGAGAAAAAATAAATGAAAATCCTAACGCAAGAGCAGCAACAAAAACGTCTTGATATAATGGTGGCAGAGGGTCAATCAAAGGAAGCCGAAGAGCTACCAAGTTACCTTAACATTTGTCAAGTCGACATGATGTTCCTCCAAGAAAGTGCATAATTCCATGAAATTCTCTTCTGTCGGGCGATAATGACCACTGTAGACCCAGACAGCCTGAAAGAAAACAAAAATCAAAATCAAAAAGTTTTCACAATCGATATATTAATGAAAAATTGATACTCCTATATAATATGATTGTGCATGCATGCGTGCAACGGTGCAAGTATTATTTACGCTTTGATAAGAATAAAGCTAGCTAGCAACATACATCGAGAGTCCCATAACGAACAACCAATTTGCCAGATGCAATGGTGGCTCCCCCAGCTAGGAAACTCGAGTGCTGAAAGAGAACTTTCTCTTTCTGCGCAACTTACAGAATTCTTGATGTACTAAGAACAAATATCCACTTGGTTCCTTCTATGGTGTTAACTGGAGCTTTGCTTTGTTTGTAAATCAGCTTCCCTTTCTCCAGAATAAATTCGTATGCTTCCCTTTCTTTCTGCAAAACCAAAAAATATATCACAAGCACTGAAAACACACTCCCCAATAGGCTTCATTTGGATTCAACTGAAGCTCTAATGAGATCTCGTTGAAGCATTCCACTGGACTGATGAAGTGTTTGGAAAGCAAAGCCCAGTGCGTTTCATGCTTTTCAATTGCACTGGAGGCTTAAAAACTGATTATACCTTCAGGCTTCAGTGAAAACATTTCACTCTCACCGCAGCATTCTTCCCTTTATTACCCATGCTCTTTCCTTTTTTTTGTTTTTTTAATACCCTTAAGATTACAGTGCAGGAACGAAAATTTCCCTGTCACTTTATGCTTTGTTTTTGTCCTTTTTATTATTTATTTGTTTTATTGGTTATTTTAGGTTTTTACTTAAATATTTTCAAAAATATCATTATGATTATTTAATAAATCATTTATATAATTAATAAATTAATTAATAAAATAACAAGCTAAATATTTTTTAATTGTAAAACATTATTTTTAATTTTTAATAAATTTATTATTTATTATAAAAATTAATTCATAAATGTAAAAACTATACTATAAATTTTATTACACAAGCTTTTATCTAATATCCTTAATAATCATTTCTTTTCATTACATTTCATTTCATTGCTATAATTATGTTTATATCAAAATACATATATCATAATTAATTTTAATCTTACAATTATAATACAAAATCTCATTATTATAATAATTAATTTCATTTCTATCCTTATTTTTAATTTTATTAAAACTAATTTTACCGCTCATCCAAATAAACCTTAAAGCCAATTTACAAAAGAACAATATTTTCGAGTCATCGCTTACTTGGTTTTGGAATCCTGAAAGTACCCACAATTCTTCATATAAAAAAAATCTTTTCTAAACTTAAAAAATTTATTATGCAAATCAGTGTTATTGTCCTGAATAATGAAGGAGAAAGGCCCCTTGTTGCCTTGAATAAAAGGAAACAGCTGCCTGGCATGCCATTTCTTTCAATTAGAATAGACCACTAACGTAGAAGGCAAGTGCAATGGCAAGTTGCCCTTACCGGTCCGAGATATTTGATGCATTGACGCTGTAGATCGGTCCTTGGGCATTTGTCAAGATTAAATTCTTTGCCATCTCCAACATCCAACCTTCATTATCATATGGAAATGCAACTAACTCTTGAAACGAGTCAAAGAAAAAGGAAAAACTGTGAATAAAGATTTTGGTAATATATATTTACCAGTATAAGAAGGGTTGAGAACTCCCACTCTCAAACCAAACATCATAGTACAAATGTAGATTGTGACCGTAACGATCGCGTGGATCAATCTGCATGCAAAATATTGTCTAATAAAGATAGATCATCATATGAATAATCAAACTTAAGTCAACTTACTTAATCAAATCCATGTTAAAAGTCGTGAATAATATTGGAAGAATTAATGGATTATTAATTCAAAGTAGAAATTAGTGAGCAATACTCCAAGCGTTTTCTTACAGCTTCAAGCCAGCGTCGTGAAGCCATCTGCTGACCTTTCGCGTCCTTTGACAACCCTTTCCCAATCTATACAAATTTGGAAGTGAATATCAGTTTGCGGCAACAAGCAGGTTAATGTAGACATTTTTCTTGACAATAATCTCTATCTTTAAAAGAGAAATAGATTTGGTCTAAAAGTTGAAACATGTCACAGCAAAATTAAGAATGTCTGAACATTTTCAGAAATCCTTGTCAAGTTAAATAAAAAACTCATGACATTAAACAAAAAAAAAAAAAAAAAGAATACATACATACCTTGGCCGCTCTTGTCCGAGCTCGTGCCCATCAAGAAACAGCTGCTTCTGATTTATTAGAATTAAAGAATGATACAGAACTCCGTCTAAGAGCTGCAGATTCTAATGCCTTCCACCTGAAGAAACCAAAAAAGGGATTGAATCATGAACAGTGACCCAAAAGAACAAATTTTGCCGGCAACATTATTCCTGAAAATTTTATTGGAAGAAAGAAAATGATAGTAATTAAGAGAACAAACCAGAGCTCTTCAACAACAACAGCACAATCTGCAAGGTTTCTTCGTGTCTGGTAACTCTTGTAAAATTTTTGCAGCTTAGTTGCAGCTGCATGAAGCTCGCTAGCAGGCCTAGAACACAGAAACTTTGCCTGTTGTGATGAGGAAAATGTGATTGAATCTGCTTTGTTTATTAATTCATGATCATTTCCACCACCTAAATCAGAAATCCTCCGGTTGATATCCGGTGCTGAAACAATCGTTTTGAGCTCTA